AAGAAATTCCCTTTATTTGGAATATTGATAAACTGCATAATTGCTACAACTACATTATCTGGTTTCTAAATTAAAGTCAAATGTTCATAATCAAAAAGCCTTTCCTTTTAATGTACCAGTTATCTTTCTGGGTTTTCATCATCCTTTCATTTTCTGACTTCTCACCTCCATGGAAATACATACTCAATCAAATATTTTTGTTGTCTTTTAAAAATGTTTTCAAATATAACTCCTAACCTTGGCCTGGTAGACTTCAAATGTTGCTAAACATGTTTTGGTGAATGCACAAAATCACACACCATCATTGATCCCATAGATGGCATTAGTGTACAATATGCTTCACAATTTTAAAAATAATATTAACAAAGTTTCTTCCAATTTCTCATCTTATGCAGGATTATGTATCAACTTACATAAAATTGGGGAGACATCTGGTGTTTGACATGGCATTTTTTGTTGTTGTTTCATCTCTGTTTTGTAGTGGCTTGGTAAAGTACTTGCATTTATTTCTATTCCTGAACACTTGAAGTTCTGGGTCCTCATCAAATCCAACTCTCTCATTTCCAACTGAAGAATTTAGGACCATGGGAGGCCCCCAAAGTAGCTCTGAAACCCAGCCTTCTTACAGCCCCTTCACTTCAATCTGTACTGAAACAACGATTATCCTTCAATAAATTCTCCTTAAATACAGTTCTCCTTAAATCAACTCCCTGAAGGCAACTTTCATCTTCATTTTCCTCAACAGATTACACTATGAGTCAATTTGGGGGAAATGCAAAAGAAAAAAGAACAGAGGTGGAAATATCAAACACCTGGGGATTTTCACATTTGTTAAATGGAGAAAATAACTGAACTTCCATTATGAGGTTGTTTTAACAAATTAAATTAAATAAAACATAACGCCCATGGTTCTCAATCCTAGTTGATTAATGTACTTCCCAGTGAATATTGTGAAATGTACTGATGCCCTGGCCAGAGCCTAAAACCAACTAAGTACTAATCTCTACACACACAGTTCTTAGTAGTCTCAATGTAAAAGCCAGGGTCAAGAACAATGCCTTACAAGATTGCCAGGCTCTTAGAAAACATTCAGTTAATATTACCTATTATTACTATAATTAACACCCAATTGTATTAAAAACATGAGCATTTAGTAACATTTGTTTCAAAACTCATATTTTATAGGGATTTGAAATATTACCAATAAAATATTTTTTAAAAATCCCTGCATAATTCCATTGCCCTGTACAGCTGTCCTCCAAAGCAGCCATTGTCATTAATCATAATTTGTTAGAGACAAAAGACTTATTTGAAGTGGCTTCAATTCACTTTGAAGGCTTTAAGTTTAATCCAATGTGCATTTATTGTCTACTGTGTACAAACTGAGGAGGGGACAAAAGAGATACAAATTATTGCAATACAGAGAGGTGAGGAATATAATATTGATATGTAATAAATACTGCAGAAAACAAAGGTAAAAGTTTTCAATTCACCTTGAGTAATTCCAGGAAACCTCTTTAGACATTTATTTTTTAACATTTTATTGAGGCGTAATTCACATATATAGCATTCACCCACGATAACGTAAATTCAAAGATTTTACTAAATTTATAACTATGCAATCATTACAAAGCAGTTTTAGAATATGTCTATCATCTCAAAACTAACCTTGTATCCATTTGCAGTTAATTGCTACTCCCACCTCAACTGTAGGAAACTACCTACCACTGTCTGCCTCTAAATTTGCCTTTCTACATATTTTAAACAAATGGAATCATCCAATATGTGGTCTTTTGTATCTGACTTCTTCTAAGCATACATTTTTGAGGCTCATCCATGTGGGAGTAAGTATCAATATTTTGTTCCTTTTAATTGCAGAATAGTATTTAATTGTAGGTAAATACCACATTTTCCTTATCCAATTATCAGCTGACAGACATTTGGACATTTCAAGTTTGAGGTTATTATGAATAATGCTGCCATGAACATTTGGCTTGTGTCTGTGTTGACACGCATTGTCATTTCTCTTGGGGAGATACCTTGGAGTGCAATTAGTGGGCTGAAAGGTAAATTAATGTTTAACTTTTTAAGAAAATGCCAAACTATTTTCCAAAAGTGGCTGTCTCATTTTACACTCCCACCAGGAACACATGAAGGTTCCAGTTTTTCCACCTCTTAGCCAACATTTGGTATTCAGGAAAAACATCTAAAAGGAGAATATGCTTGGAGGTTGAATAATACATAATAAGCAGAAACTTAGCTAGAGAATATATTTGGGTGATATTCAAGAGTTAGATACATCAGGAAAACATATGGAACTTATGGCTGAGATACTATAAATAAGGTTGGGACACACTGATGGAGGACAGACCAATGAGAGTCTAATTTGATATACTAAGGATGTTATAAGCAATTGAGAACCAGAGTCATGATGTATAATTTGAGGATTTGAGGTTTGCCCTGAGTGTGAGAAACTGGAAGCAGAGGGAGGAGTTAGGAGGCTAGTGAAATAGTCCAGGGGAGAGGTGACGGAGACCGGTCCTAAGCAAGCAGCAATGATATGGACAGATTTTAAAAGAAAGATGTATTAATTTCCTATTGCTCCTGTAACAAATTGCCCTAAGTCTAGTGATTTAAGATGATACAACCTTATTATTTTACAATTCTGGAGGTAAGAAATCTAACATGTCAGCAGGGATGCTTTCCTTCTGGAGGTTCTAGAGGAGAATCTGTTTCCTTGCCTTTTTTCAAATTCTAGAGGTGCCCTGAATCCACTGGCTTGTGGCCCCTGCCTCCATCATTAAAGTCAACAGTATGGCATCTTCAATACTCTCTCCAGCTCTCCTGCCTCCCTTATAAGGATGCTTCTAATTACAATGAACTCATCCAGATTCAGGATAATCCCTCCATCTCAAGATTCTTGACTTAATGATATCTGCAAAATGCCTTTTGCCATCTAAGGTAACATATTCACATATTCAAACATCTTTGGCAGGCTATTATTCAACCTATCACAAGAGATGTGTGTGAGCCAACAATTGACTGATAAGCATTTGAGCTGAGAAGGTGGAGGAGCTATGGCACTCCTTGTTGATTTTCATTGGGCATGATCATCTCATGGTTCAAGCTCAAATAAAGATAAGGCTGCATTGACAGGTCTGCTTTGGAGGCAAGTGATAAAGAGAATTTCCTGATTCATCTAAACATAGCTGAGTGACACAGGGGCTCAAATACTGTGAAGATTTCCATTCAGATTATCAGCTTTATTTCCAGATTGGCTTCTCTCACATGGAAAGAGACTTATAAACTAGTAACTTTCACAACCCACACCTCACACCTTCACTAATAAAGAGCAGGCAGTCCTGTCCTCTCAGGGGACCAGACAGGGTTGATATCCCTGGTAACAGGGCTGCCAACTACAGACCCCACTACAGATATGGCAGTAGCCACATGACCACTGTCCATCTCTACTTGACTCTGATCCGAAAGGCAAAGCCATCAGCTCATGGACCAGACAGGAGACATTCCTTATCTAGTGAAAGCAGTCTATAAAGGCTGAACTGGGTGTTTGCTCCTTCAAATGCAGATTCCAACAGTAAGCCCATCTGTTTGCACACATTATCAGCTGACTCATAAAGCACCCCAAGCTGAGCACCTAAAGCAATCAGTAATAACTATTACTGTAATAAATATTACCTAAATAGTAAATAAATATTACCTAAATAAATAAATAAATAGTAATAAGTATTACCTACCATTATAGATTTACCACTAAATATTAAAATTTATATAAAACCACTATAATATACAGAGTGTGATATGGACATAAATATATTACTTGCACAGAAGAGTCTAGAAACTGATATAGAATTTATTGTTTAAGGTGGAAATTCAAATCAGTAGATCACGAGCAGTTTAACAACAAGCAGTACTAAAGCAATTAGCAATAGTTTCTGGAGGAAAAAAAGTAATTAGATCTACTACCCCATATCACATTTCAAAACGTATTCCATAAGGATTAAGGACCTAAGTCTCTTTAAATATAATACATTTAAGAGGCAAATTATGAAATCTGTATGTAATCTAGAGTTTGAAGAAACCTTTTAAGGCAAGGCAGGAAATCCAGATATTTTTAAAAGCCAATTTCTTTGGCTACAGTATAATTAAATGATTTGTAAGTAAAATATGAAACTAATAGCAAAATATATCAATTCAATAGATGCATAAAACATATTTTATGATGCACGTGAACTCTTGATAAAATGTGTTACTAAATCAGTATTTTAAAAGATCTTTATTAACATCACAAAGGCCATCCACTGAAAACCACAGCAAACATGATTACCGGAGAAACTTTAGAAGCATTCCTGAATAAGTGAAGAATGCCAGGTATCAGTGCTATGTCACAAAAATTAAAAAAAAGAAACATATTTGAAACGGAACAATAAAAGATTTACAGAAAATGTCATTATATTGCAAATGCAAAAAATCAATGATGAGTTTGGCTTGGTGTCTAAATAAAGCCCTACAGATGAGATTGACTGGAGGACAGAATATTTCATAGATTTACGGGATTACCAACAAGGGAAAATCATTGTAAAGACACTACGAACGTGGGGAAAGGAAAGCAGAAAAGCTTTTCTTGCGCAGGCTGTGAGGTTAACGCCCAACCCCAGCCTTCCACATCCATGTTCCAAACAGGAGATGGGCCTCGTCCTGCCTCCACCCCCACCTCCATGTACGGGCCCCGCCCTCCACCCGTAGCCCAGCCCATGTACCTGGTTCCACCTTTAGCCTTGGCTTCCGCACTTCTTCCTCTCCTCAGCCCCCACGATGACCAGACTCGCAGCCCAACCACAACCACGCAGAAGAAATCTATCACTTCTGTGTTTGACACGGTGGAACTTACCTGATGACTCAAATGCCGAAGACTTGCACATTCCGGGATCAAAGCAGGAAGCGGAAATGAAGTCACTTGTTCATTGCATTCTTTTCCCTTGCTGGCTCTGCGCAACAATGAGAATATCGAGTTCATGTGTTCCAGCTTCTGTGAGCTCTGGTGAGGCTCGCACGAAGCGGAGGGAGGAAAAGGAGAGGAATCAAAGGACGGGTTGGGTGAGGGCCGCTGAGGGGCGTGCTTAGAGAGGCCTGGCCTGCACTGTTCACATCCGCCTAGGCTGCATGATAGCCCGCTGGTGCCATAGGTCCCCGGATACCCAGGGTCGGAAAATGTGGGAAAGGCACTTCCATGGGGGTCTTTCCGCCCATCCTGCACCCCTCTTCAGAAGCCTCCAAAACAACCTTTGTGATTTTTCTCTAGAGGGAAAAGAATTTCTGCTGTTGGAGTGACCCTGACTTGGCCCCCGTGTGCTTGCTTCATCAGGGATCTTGCGATTCAGGCATATTCTGGTGAGCACTCGGGGAAACTTGCTACAAAATGGCCCGTTTCCTTATGTATACAAAAGAATATTTCATCTGAGAATTTGGCTCTGTCTTTGCGGGTTTCTTATTTTTTGACACACTACATTCAAGTAGAAATATAATTTCTTAGATGTCTATGGGTGCATATTTTAGTTTCCAGTTAGGAACGTAAGTAGAACATGTCTTTCTACTAAAGAGAAACAAGGCTATTACCTGTTTCTTCATCTGAATTTCCCAAGTCTGTACATCTCCCTAGAGCTTCAGAACAGCGGCCTCCAGGAGAAAGGAATGGAGGCTTCATTACGTTACTTCTAGAATAATTAAATTTCCCATTAACAGGATGTTTGGACTGACGGTATGTTCCCGACATTTTTCTTTTGAAAAATCTTAAAGAAAATGTAAATAACTAATAAAAGGAGTGTCCATTGAAGTAGATTCACCCATTTTAGCATTTTGCATGTTTGCTCTCTCTCTAGATAATTACATATTTTGGTTAACTCTTTGAGAGTCAGTAGAAAATATGTTGCAGACATGATGCTTGCCATTTAATTACTTGGTAATACATCTATTTAAGGTAAGGACTAAAACCATCATGCTATTATTTCACCCAAGGAAATTAAAACTAATGTCATCTAATATCTACTTTGTGAAAATGAAAGTTCTGCACATTGTTCCAAAATACATTTTTGGATCTTGGAGCCAATCAAGATTTATGTATGATAATTGTATGTGTTTTTTAGTCTTTTTAACCTAGACCAGAGGTATTGTTTCTGCAAAAATTGACTTTGAAGAATCAAATATTCTTTTAGAAACTCAAGCTTTTTGATGTTTGTGATTTTATTTGCAAGGTGAGCTTAAATATTTCTTTCATTTCTTGTAATTACTGTAAACTGGTAATTGGGTCCAGTACAGAGATTGGCAAACTTTTACTCCGAAAAGGTCCAGGTAGAAAGTACTCTATGTTCTGCAGCCAGAAGGTCTGTAATTACTCAGCTCTGCCTCTGTAGTGCACAAGCAGTCATAAGCCTTAGTAAATAGAAGGGTATGGCTTTGTTCTGATAAAGCTTTCTTTACAAAAACAGGCCTGTGAGCTGTAGTTTGCCAACTTCTGATCTAAATGCTTCAAAAGATCATTTAGAAAGTCTTATGTAGATGATGTAGTGCACTTAAAATTGCATTTTCTCAGGAAGTTATAAATTTATGTCGAGTCATTTTTATCCCCGACACAGGCCACAGTAAGTAATCCTCAGATTTAGTTACACTCCCATCAATATTCTGCTACCTAAAGACTAAATTGTAGTGTTTTCTTGTAACTTGCAATATTACTAAAATGAGAAGGATATAGAAGTGGATGGTTAGCATATGCAAATATATGCATGTAAAGAAACATATACATATAAAAAGCATAGAGAAAACATGCAGAACTACTACAGTTTATGTTTGTAGAATTGGTCTCCAGGTTGTTGTTGATACCTATGGTTTATTTCAAGACCAATTCCTCCCAATTTCCCTGCCCTTAGGCAAGTTTGATGTTGGCATTGATTTTTGCAGTTCTTTCAGCAATGTTGTATTATTTCTGGATTATTATGTCAGGTGGTGGGGAATCCTAGGATCCTCCATTTAGCTTTTCCTACCATAGTGGTCCTCACCCCAGGGGTGAGAGCTAATTTAAGAGAATTCTGCTAATTGCCAAGAATATCTGTACTCTAATTATACATGTAGGAACTGGGAAAATAACCACAGGGTGGGTCCTTAGTTCAGCTGGGTCCAGTAAGAGTTCAGGGGAGTTAAGACTTGATCCATCACCTGACAAGCATAAGCCTCCACTTTGAGTGGTGGAGGGCCACAATGGTATTTTGGATCCTCAGTAATTAATGTCATCTTAGAGCCATTCTGGGTATTTCCTTTTCCCAGATGCATAGTCACTCTAGTAAATGACTGCAAGTCCCTTTGTGGAGGGTTTGAAGGAAGATTTATACTATAGATTGTGGTGATGGTGCAGGGTCTTTCCTTTGATGAAGGGGTTCTAAGTTTGTGAGTTGATCTGTGTTGGAATTGGGTAGTGAGCTGTGTTTTTCCACTGTAGTGGCTTAAGTCAGATTTCTGGTTACCAGACTTGAGACTTCTTGTTACAGATATCAAGCAAAATTCTAGTACACAATTCGCAGAACTACAGATACTGGGCCAAATCTGGCCCTCCACCTGTTTTTGTAAATAAAGTCTTATAGGAACATAACCATATTCATTTGTTTACATATTGTTTGAGGCTTCTTTCATACTACGATGACAGAGTTGAGTTTAGCAAAACAGACCATTTGAACCACAAAGCCTAAAATTAGCTATATGGACTTTTGGAGCTGTTTCTTGACCCTTGTTCTAAATAGGCTGCATGTCTGTTTCATTCCCAGGAACCAACTAGCCTGGGGTCAGTTATACTAAAGATCTCTGCAGACCAAAGCATTCTGATTCCTGCTTCATTCCCACTGTCCTTGACAGTTTATGTGCCACCTTGTCTCTGGAAATTAAGTGCTACCTACTTGATTTCTGCTGCTCTGGGTTCTCTTCATGCCCTGTGAAATCAGGTAATTCATCTCAATGATGGTATCCTCTACAGTCATACCCGGCCTATAAAGGAAAATACCCACAGAGCTTTCCAAGGATGGAGGTGCTCCAATTATTGATCTATTTATCAATATCTTTATGAACACAGAGTCTTTAACATTCCATCAACATAGAATGGGGAATGGGGGCTGTACACACATGATCAACTGGTGCAACATTCCCATATCTCTAGATTCACTCTATTGCATTTTGCTGGGGAAGCTCTGGCATATCAGCTTATTACTGGAGGCCCCCATTGAGTCTGAGTTTCAGTCCAAGCAAGTAAGCTGTTAGAGCCATTCCCAGGTCCATGAGCTAATATATTAAATCCAGACTGTCTATTCAGTGCACCCATGTCAATGAATTTGGTCCAATCTATTATTATATTCCACTCTGTTTGGTCTGGCACCCTTAGCACATGAAATTTTCATCACATGTACTTTTGTGTTTGCATCATGTAAAAATTGCAGTTGAGAAAGTAGATGCGAGTATCCAAGTTTTTCCAAACATTTCAGTTTTCAAATAAGTGAATCTAGTAACATATTTTAAATATAAAATTTAATTAAAATAAGAATTTAAAATTCTCTTTTCTAGCCGCATATCAAGTGCTCAACAGCATATGTCGCTAGTGACTACTGTAATGGACAGTGCAGGTCTACACCAGCTTCTGGTCATGTTTGGGAATGAAAATAACTTCAGGAGATCAAGCTTTTGAGACAAACTTACCTGCATTCAAGTTCTGGTTCTCCACTTCCTAACTGGGTGATGTTGGACCAATTATTAGTATTATCATAATCTAGCTTTTTTCAGCTATTAAATAGGGGTAATGATATCCATTATAAAGGGTTCTTATAATAATTAAATGAGCTTATATATGTAAAGCTTGTATTCAGACTTCTGTCATGTACTTGTTTTCAGTAAATAGTAATTGATGTTTCTAACATTCATGCTATAGAGTATACTATTCTTAGTGAATTTCATGTATATCATGTACAGAGAGACAGCTATTGTATGATGTTTGATGAGTAACAAGTAATGCTTTTTGATCAATGATTGATACTGAAACAGGACTGCAGATGACCCATGTCAAGAATGACGAAGACTGTCATATCCACTTAGATACTAAGTTGCAATGAAGGGACCTAGGCTTCACATAACCCTCAGGCATATTTTAGCATTACTCTCCAAGGATAGCAGCCATTGATTTGACCCTTGGTAAGTCCTTGTTGATCCTCATTTTTAGAGTATGCTAAATGTCACCCCTGCACAATATAGAGTCCAGTGGTCTGAGCCTGAGCAGTCATGCTGCTGGTTCATTTAGAAGCAGCTGAAGTATGCCAGAGAATGCTGTGATTTAAGTCAGCTTCCTGCATGTGTGCTTTGGGAACCAGGTCTGCATAACACCATTCATGAGTTTTATCATCTTGGTAAAATGAAGAATCATATTTCTCAGGGTTTTAGTTGCTGTACCTGTAAATAAGACCATTCCCTTTCCTCATGGGCAGCATGGCTCAAAATCCCCTTTTCTGGCTCCAGGTGAGACAGAACTACTCTGGTGTTTTATGACACTTGTATTTGTGTGAGATTGCTTGAGTGTGTAAGGATATATGGGATGCACAAACTAGGATGGAATAATTTTCAGTTGGATAAATCTGTGAAATATGGTCATTCTGCATTCTGATGTATGCCTTCTTTCTCTGAGATAATTCTAGGGATCCTCTCTTCATGAGGGGAACACAGAGGCAGAAAGGTTGGTGGCTGTCTGGCTGAAAAATTGTCAGCAGATAAGAAAAAATCATATCCTAGTGAATGACATCTTGAAATTTACCAGGTGGATACATTCTTTCTACCCATGCCTGTGTCCAGAGCTTCCTAAAGCAAAAAGAACTCCTTACGAGGACTAAATCCCCAGTTGAATTTCCCAGGAAGTGGAACCTCTCATATTGAAGAGGGATTCCCCAATCTCTAATCAATCTTGAACTTCATGGATGTCAACTACATGTTTCTTACTTGCTGCTTGCTCTGACATATGATAAAGAAGATTTGAATTCCTCTTCTCAAAGAATCAATCATTCTACACTGTTATTAAGAGTCTGTAGAATACTTTGGAGTATGCTGCAATAGAGGGAAATAAGGCAAGACCTCCTACTTTGGTTTTGATGAGATAAGGTCATCTTTAAGAGATGCTATTAAAGCCATATGAGTGAAGACCAGCAATGAGTGAATCTAGATAGAGAAAAGAACATAGAACCATAGCAACCTGGGAAGATAATGAGAGAACTCATAACCCTGCATAGATACTGGATCTTCTATCCTCATTCTCCAGTGAATAATCAGTGGAGATATTTCTTAGCTAACACCAGCATGTGTGTGATGGTTTAGGATTCAATGACCTTTGACAATGTGGCTGTAGACTTCACCCAGTAGTGGACATTACTGGACCTTACTCAGAGAAACCTATACAGAGATGTGATGCTGGAGAACTGCCAGAACCTGGTCACAGCAAGTAAGGCCACCATCATTCCTTGTCACCTCTTAGAGAACAGATAAATATTATGTACTTACTGTGTTCCCACATTCATGATGCCAAATCTGAATATAATGGGAAATAGATACATAACCCCAGTTAAAAATAGGGGAATCTACTTCAGTGGGCATTCATTGTAATAGATGTACACACTTTATTTAGTTTTAAGATTTTTCAAACAAAAAATGTGGCAAAAATGATACTTAGTTCAAACATCCTGTTTAGGGGAAGTTCCATGATTTTAGAACTAGGGCAAAAACTCCTCCATCCGTTTCTCTGATTGGCTCATGTTTTGAAGTTGTGTGGGGAGGAACAGGCTTAGGAAATTCAGATGAAGACAGAGGTGAGTATTCTTGTTTCTCTTTAGTAGACAGACTATGGTCTAAATATGCTAACATTTCTATACAGAAACATGCACACCATAGACATCTAAGAAAGTACATCATATTCCTACCCGAATATAATGTGTAAATAAATACCGTGTAATAATGTGTAAATAAATAAAGACCGTGCAAAGATGAACTCAAATCTCAGATCAAGCATTCTTTTACGTACAAAAGGAGACAGAGGCCTCTGGACCCACCCTTCCCCGGTGCTCACTGGAGACACCGGAAGCACCAGGTCCTTGAGGACGCGAACACGGACCGCAGTCAACCCACCGGAAAACCGGAAATCCTCTTCCTCCTGAAGAAAAGTCACAAGGCTGCTTTGGAGCCTTGGAGGGAGGAGCACAGAGGATGACGCGACCCCACAGAAGCGCCCCCACCCCACTGCATATCCGGCTCCTCCCGGGGGACGACGGCCGAGCGGCCTCTAGGACCTGGCCCTGCCGGGAGGCCCCGCAGCCCCGGCGGAAGCGAGCGGCGCGCGCCAGGCCCCTCTGAGCAGGTCCCGGGCGGCCGCCCAAGCCCGTCCTGTGACTCCCTCTTCAGCCCGCTTCCCGCTCCTTCATGCCGGAGTCGCCTAAGCCGATCCGGGCAGGACAACGACGAACACTCACGACTTCAAGATGGACCAGTAACGGCACAGACTGTGGCCGATTGTGACGTCATTTCCACTTCCTGTTTGGGGGATGGCGGGAAGGGGCGGGGCTCCGGCGTTGGGGCCAACTGGTCCCGCTCGGCCAGGTCAGATAGAGAAATTCTGGTTTCCTCCCGCGTGGGTGTGGATGGGTGCCTGGTTGGCTGGGCGCGGGGGTTGACCCCTAATCAGCCCCAGGGACAAGATTGAGTCTCGAACGAGCCCGATGGGCGGAGCTACGGGCGGAGGGCGCGGCCGATCCCTGAGGGCGGGGCTGGAGGTGGGATGAGACCCAACGCGCGTTTGGACGCTGCATAGTCAAGCCTGAAGGGCGAGGCGGCGCGTTAAGACCCAGCCCCCAGCGAGCGCTTCAAAAGGTTATCTCCCTTGTCTCCCCTCGTTCCGAGAGCCCTTACAGTGATTCTCCCGTATTGATAATCCCGCCAATGCGTGAAGTGATCTGTCTCCAATAAATCCTATCTTTACGCCTTTATTTGAAATAGACACCATGCTAAATTGTAAACTCTAAAGTTGATTCCTTTGGGTTTTCAATGTAATGACATTTTCTGCAAATGTTTTATTTTTTTCTTCTTCTAGTATATATTTCTCTTTTTATTTATTTATTTATTTTTTAAATAACGCTCGTCCTGGATATTAACTTATTCAAGAATAGAGCTAAAGTTTCCCAGGTAATCACGTTTGCTGTGGTTTTCAGTGGAAGGCCTCTGTGGGGTTAATAACGAGTATAAACCCTGATTTAATAACGCATTTTATCGGGTTGTTCATGTGCATTATCAGATGTGTTTTATGCATCTATTAAATTGGTAACGATTTTGCTAGAAGTGGACTGAATTAAAGAGTCTAGATGATATTAGTGAAGGAGTTGATTCAATAATCAGTGTGAGGAGTGTGATCCACAGGAAAACAGTTCAACAGAGTGAACTGATGGAGCTGCTCCGAGGTGTGTAGTGCAGCTTATATCTCGTTCACAAAACAGTGCACATGCAGGGAAGAGGAAAAGAAAAACCTTACAACTAGAGTTCATGTATGTTTTTTTAAAAGGCGCGGAGGGGATAGAGTACATCTGGGCTTTTCTCCAGAGTATATGTTGAAGGTAACATACATGAGAATTTTTTGGTTATACATCAAATAAGTTCAGAGATGCTGACGTTACCTATGTGGAGGGAGGCAAGGACCGGGGTTGTTAATTAGTCCCTCAATCTCTAAGATATACAGCTGGGGAATGTGAGAGCAAGGTACCCCTTTATATGTTCCTGTTGTGGATCTGTCCAGCTGGTGTCTTCAGTCATGAGATGTGGGGTCACAAAGTCGTTTGACACAGGCTGAAGATGGTCTGCATGGCGGCTTCACAGTACAGCATGGATTTTATTGTATAACTCAAAGCCTATGCAGTTTGCTTGCTAGATTTGCCTGTTAGACCAGGGAGAGGGGTCCCAAAAATCTGTCCACTACACCATGCTAAACTCTAGTCATTGCTTTCTTTGTGTTTTGAATATAACGGCCTATTTCTGTAACTTTATGTCTTCTTCAAATATGTAGTTTTGTTTTTTATTTTTTTGATCTTACCATATGGTCCAGGGCCTCCCATATTAAAGTGTGAAATAGCGCTGATACCAGGCATTCCTCACTTATTCAGGAATGGTTCTAAAGTTTCTCCAGTGATAATATTTGCTGTGGTTTTCAGTGGGTGGCCCTAGGGAAGTTAATAAAAGTCTTTTAAAATCCTGATTTGCCAACACATTTTACCAAGAATTATTCATGTGCACTAGTAAATGTGTTTTATGCATCTATTGAATTGATAACTTTTGCTTTGAGAATGTTTCATCTGTTGCTGTACAAAATGTTTAATTTTTGTGTAGCTAAAATACTCTTTTTTAAAAAATATTCTGGGTTTCCTGGCTTGTTTTAAAAATTCTCTTCAAACTGTAGATTACATTCAGATTTCCTAGTTTTCTTCTAAATGTATTATTTTTAGTGACATTTTAGTCTTTATTCCTCAAAGAATGTATTTTGGCATGTGGTGTGGGGTAGTGGATCCAGTTTCTTTTTTCCTCCAGAAAGATGACCACTTGTTGTAATATGCTTTATTGATAAACTATGCTTGACCTACTGATTTATACAATAAATTCGTATATATCCCTGTATCAATTTCTAAACTATTATGTGCCAGTAATATTTACTTATGCCCATATCATACTCTTTAGATTACAATAGTTTTATATCATTTTAACATTCAGAAGTAAAAATATAATGGTAGCAAAAGGTTGTTGCATCTTATGCTCTAGGTGCTTCAGAAACATTAAATGTTTTATG